ATCCATCCACACACCCACCCACCCACACACCCACCCAGATACCCACACATCCATCCACCCATCCACCCATCCATCCAGCCAGCCATCCATCCATCCAACCAGCCAGCCAGCCATCCATCCATACACCCACCCATCCATCCATCCATCCACCCACCCACCCACCCATCCATCCATCCATCCACACACCCACCCACCCACCCACACACCTACCCACACACCCATACACCCACCCAGACACCCACACATCCATCCATCAATCCATCCACCCATCCACCAATCCATCCACCCACCCATTCACCCACCCATCCATCCATCTATCCATCTATCTATCCATCCATCCACCCATCCATCCACCCACCCATCATAATCTTATGTTTCACTGGTCCATCCATCGACCATCTTTTGTTTCATTGTTCCTTCCATCTAGTTTATCTATCCATCTATTATCAATCAAATATCAATGATTTTTTTTGTTTCATCGTTCCATTCATTCATCCATACATCTTGTTTCATCCATCAACCATCATCTTTTGTTCCATCATTTCATCATCCATCTTTTGTTTCATCATTGTTTCATCCCTCCATTTATCCATTTACATTTTTTAAGCTATATAGTCACATTTTAGTGCAGATTGAATGTGGCATTTGTGTCTCATAAGTGTAATATCTGTATCTAATGTGTGAATGATGCAATATACAGCGAATGCCTCTGGTCTTTATCACTGAGACTCCGTTTACATATTCCACACGTTAAACACAGTCAGATCCAGCCGCTGGACTCAACACTGACCGCAGTGAATGATAATCAATGAGACATGACATGATCTGCCATAAAGTGAACCCACATGTTGACCTGTGTAAGTGCAGGCAGGTAGGGGGCCGTAGGAGGGCCGCCACATTCTGATCCCCCTCATTGACTCACACCGTGTGGTCCCCTGATGCGGGGGTCAGATTTGTTGTTTGTGATTTTGATCTGCTCAGGTGAAAGAGGACCCCCAGCTACCTTTACATTTACCTGTGGAAAAAAGGGTTCCTTTGGCCTGTAATCAGATCCTGGGAATCTATATGCCACCTGAATAGCCACTACACACATTACACTGATATATTGATATATGTATATATAATTATTATTTTATTTTTGCAGTAGTTGTTGTGTGATTATGGAGGGTTTTGCATTGTGTCACAGGACCCCACCATAAAGGTTTTGATGTCCTTTAATCCTTGTATTGATGACTTCTCCTATGATCTTTCCACCAGATACGAGGAGGAAAACTGATGATTACCAACACCCGCAAAACGGATGCAGGGAAGTACGTGTGCGTGGGAACCAACATGATGGGGGAACGAGAGAGTGAGATCGCAGAGTTGACTGTTCTTGGTACGTTTTCGATATATTTCTGCTTTAATTTATATTTTTCAGTAAATCAGAAGTCTGATTCTCAAATACTTCCGCATGTGATCTGCCTTCCTTAAAACGCACATGTGTATATATAATCAGGTTCCCACACAAACCTCTGGTGCATTTGATTGTGAAAAGCATGCAGATGGATTCACTTAAACACACACGTTGTATGAAGTGTTTGTTTATGGGCAGAGCAGGAGGGAATCCAGATGTTTAGAGTTTGTGTGCTTAGCTGTAGGAAGACTCGAGCGTGTCATTGACCCCGTTTAGGAGACATGGACCCTTAAACCTTATCATCAGAGTCAGTTTGCCATGAAACAAATACCAGCTCTCCCATTCACACTCCCCTTCATTCACACATACACACAAAAATATACATTGTGTCGTCCAACACCTTAACATATCAGTTTACACTATTCCACATCAGAGCTGTGGCCTTTGACCTTCCCTCCTTAATCTCTGCAACACAGCCTTCCTCATCGCCATCATTATTCAGTGTCTGCTTGAATATTTACACATTTCAGGGAGAAAGTCACCAGCCATGTCAACTTTATTGTCATTCTCAATTTAGATCAAGTGTAAGAAATGGAGAAAAACATAATTCCTCCAAAAATATCTCCTCCGATTAAATTTAGAGGTGAAGAGTCTCATCTTCAATGGCAGTAGAGTAACAAAACAGAATGTCAAAAATAATGACTGTAATACACTTTCCTTCTGCCATTGGTTGTTCAAACAGCCTCCTGCCATTAGTTGTTAAAATAGATAACCGCACCCCCAAAACCTGCCATTGGTTGTTTAAATAGATAACCGCACTCCCAACACCTGCCATTGGTTGTTCAAATAGATAACCGCACCCCCAATCTATGCCATTGGCTGTTCAAACAGACAACCGCACCCCCAACACCTGCCATTGGTTGTTCAAACAGACAGCCTCACCCCCAACTCCTGCCATTGGATGTTCAAACAGATAACCCCACCCCCAACTCCTGCCATTAGTTTTTCAAATAGATAACCGCACCCCCAACACCTGCCATTGGTTGTTCAAACAGACAGCCTCACCCCCAACTCCTGCCATTGTTTGTTCAAATAGATAACCGCACCCCCAACCTATGCCATTGGCTGTTCAAACAGACAGCCTCACCCCCAACTCCTGCCATTGGATGTTCAAACAGATAGTCCCACCCCCAACTCCTCCCACAATCTCTTAAATGGATAGTTCCCCCCAAAAATGAAAATTTTATCATTATGCTCATATCCAAGTTGTTCCAAACCTCTATGAGTGTTCTTTGTCCTGTTGGACACAAAAGAAGATATCTTGAAGAATGTTGGTAACCAGACAGTTGATAGTCCACATTGACTTCTATAGTATGAAAAAAATACCATGGAAGTCAACGGGGACAAGAAACAGTTTGACAACTAACACTATTCAAAAAATCTTCTTTTGTGTTCAACAGAACAAATAAACTTGTAAAGGTTTAGAACAACTCGAGGGTGAGTTACTTATGACAGAATGTTCATTTCCGGGTGAACTTGCCCTCTAACAGATTATTAGTATCCTAACATCAAAGAGATATGATCTTAATAAATAAATCAGATAGGAAGCTTACTTTAGGATTAGCTGCATGAAAGTTTAGGCTAAAACAACAAGCCAGAGTTCAATAGATGGATCGCTGGGAGTTCATAATCGGATCAGTGAAGGGAATATCTCATAGGGAAGACTGGGAAACTTCTTGTATTACATAATACATGTTTTGTGCAGAGAGGCCCAGCTTCTTGCGAAAGCCGAGCAGTCAGTCTGTTCTGGTGGACCAGAGTGTTGAGTTCAGGTGTGAAGCTCAAGGAGACCCCGTGCCCACCATCCGCTGGAGAAAAGAGGACGGAGATCTACCCAAGGGACGGTACGAGTGATAAAACATCCAGTTAGCCTATATTAAGCCAATCAAATGCGAATGAGAAGTCTTAAACCTATGTGTATCTGCTTCTATGTTTGTGTATCGTCATCTTCTCAGGCATGAGATCTGGGAGGACCACACTCTCAAGCTGAAGAGGCTGACTTCAGGAGACGCCGGTACTTACACCTGTCAGGCGGAGAACATGATGGGGAAGACGGAGGCCAGCGCCACCCTCACCGTCCACGGTAAGAACATCTCATCTCACGCTGTTTGACAAACTGCTCTGATCCTCAATCTGTGTGTTTTTGACCTGTTTATTTCACAGCTGTTAGTTTTTTGACAGACGCTTTCAGCTTTGACAGGTTGTCAGATTGATTTGTCCGAATGGATGCTGGATCGTTGTGAATATTCCTTCCCATTATCCCCCAAACCCCTAGCCGTTGGAAAAACGATATTTTTTTTTGAGACAGGATGATTTCTGTCATTTTTCTGAAGCATCATTCCCACCACCGTCTTTTTCATGTTTAAAATTACCGAAACCTTCATTTAGCATGGGTCAAATTTCGAAACTTCAAAACAAAATCACATTTTCAAATTTTTGGTCAAAATTCCCAACTTAATTGGGAATGTAACTTGATATTTCTTTACTTTTATTACTAATCACAATTCATATTTTATCACAATATTGCTCCTAACCAATTAACCAATTCTTTATTCTAAAACTTTGGGTCAGAATTGTTTGTCATGGTGAAAATTGTAGTCGTAATGTGTGTAATAATATAATGATATATTTTTCACAATACATATTTAAAAATTGAGTTGGATTAGATTTACGTCACTCATTTGGTTTGGAATTGGATCATTTTGGTGGTGGATTGTCAAAATTAAAATTGCAAGGTTTAGGACAAGGTTCTATTTAACATAGAAAAAATGGTTATTATTTGTAAAATATAACGTTAATAAAAATACCATCAATCCCTAGGAGAAAAGGGTGGTTTATTTTTAGAAACACCCATACATAAGAACATTTTACTCTAGGTCCCTTTTGTTTCGTCCTTTTCACTTTAAGTCCCCTTGAGTGTGTTCAACTCTTTAGAGAACAATGTCCACATTGTCTCCTGACACCCCTGAGCAGTTTTCTCCATCTCCTCATTGCAGTGCTTAGTGCTTTTACTGGTTTTTACTGCTCATAGAAATAGCTGAATTATTATTTCACATGTGTGTTTAGCAGGTCAGTAGCATTGGAACCAGACTTATAAACACGTCTGCTTCAATAACCAATCTATCCAGCGAAGAGGCTTATTACTAAACTTGCCATTGGCACAACATTGCTTTCCAGATGCCAAGGAATGAGATTCATCAAAATGATGACTTTATTCGAGAATGTATTTTGTCTGGTTGGTGTTTTGAACGAAATACGTTAGTGAGCTGTCTTCCTAGACAGCATGTTTTGGCATCATAGGTGCATTGAACAGTCAATTGATTCTTTAAACGATTTGTCAAATGTTTACACACAAACACACACGTTCTCCGAGATAAGTAATTTGGACTGAGAGTCGGTTCTCTGTTAAAAGGCCATGAAAAGATAATGTTGGGTACAAACGAGGCCTCTCTCAGCTGGCGATTTAGTCATTAGTACTGATGTATTTGAGGAAAGTGCTAGAATGCCATGCGAGTCCCATGAGTAGCTCCGCTAATGGGCCATGGAAACAAAGTAGAGCGAGAGCCGCAACCATTGCCAAAAGAGCAAACGGGCCCCGTCCAAGTCGAGTTCTCTCTAAGCAGCTGTTCTCAAATCTACCGCTTTCCCTCGTTTCTCACCCTTCGCTTGTGTTACTCAGTCCATCTCGCAGGATTGACTCCAAATGGCCTGAGTTATTGCGTTTAAAGTTTAAAATTGGCATATTCACGGTAGTTGCTTAACAAATTCACATTTGTTCACATATCGCGTCTTTTGTGCGCTCAAGTACGTTATTTCAAATGTAGGCACGTGTTTTTAGGCGCTTTATTTGAATCCGGCCTTACAGAAAATTCTTCTTTTCATTTAATCTTTCATTAAAATGTAATTCCCACCCGGCATTATTCCCACTACAAAAATAGAAAAAAATTAGTGCTGTCAAACGATTAAAATATTTAATCGCGATTAATCGCATTAATGTCATAGTTAACTCACGATTAATCGCAATTAATTACACATTTTTATCTATTCTAAATGTCTCTTGATTTTTTTTGTCCCATTATTTTTTTCTCATTTTAATGCTACTAATGCTAATAAACAAATCCATTTCGGCAACTCGCGCACATCATCCACTCAAAACGTAACGTTAATCAACTATTTGGCCGGCTCGCAAGCCCAAACGAGTGTGTGCAGCGTACCTGTTGTTTTGTTTACGGTCTAGCTAGATCCGCTTGCGCTTTGGTCAACGAAGCAACAAAACGTCCTCGCGCGGCGCAAACCATTGAAATCAATAAGTTTCATAGCGCAGTGCGTACGTAAAAAAATAACGTCGTTAAAATGGGTTTGCGTTAACAGCGTTAATAACGCGTTTAACTGACAGCCCTAAAAAAAATTAACTTTACGAATGCTAAATGCTTTTTGAATGCCATTTCATGTTGTTTTCAATCTTTTTAATGCTTTGTGTCCTGGAGATTTTACACAACAAGTGGGTTAAAATGCTAAATTGCTGCTCAAGCTTTTAAGAATTGTCATTTCTCTTAAAGCTGAAGTTTAAGTGTTTCATTTCCACACACTAGCGGAAATAAACAGATTTGCACAAATATATATATATATATATATATATATATATATATTTGAGAAATAATGTCAGTATTCAGACAAGCTAGTAGTCCCGCCTCCAAATGAATGCCATTGGCTGTGCCAGTTTTGTTATGTCGGGCTAATGGTGTAAAAATGACACACTGTAGCTTTAAAAGGGTCAGACTCCAGGTCACATTGTCCACCTAATAAAATCTGTGGCCAGAACAGAAGAATAAAACCTCTATTCATGCCTCAGGCTCACGACTCAAGACTGATAGAATTGTTTCTTTGTGTGGTTTACACCATATATTTCAGCCTCATGGTATATTTACAATGTGTGTGTGTGCTTGCCGCACCTAATGTCTCTTCTATGTTTTTGTGTTATGCTCATAAATACATCATTGCACTGATTTTGTTCAGTAAGCATTTCCTGTCATTTTTTTGCTTCATGTCATGTGTGTGAGTGTGGTTATTTTGCGCATCCCTCACATCTGTGTTTTATCATGCTTCTATTTTTTTTTGTTCCTCTTTCAGTTATGTCTGGTAAGTTGCAAATGTCACCCGTCACCATTTTTGCTGCATTGACAGCAACAGGAAGTTGTCAGAACCACCATCCATCCACCTTCCATCCTTCCACCAATCAGCACGCTTGTCTGGGTTGTCACCGGCAACAGTGACAGCACAGCAGGCCTGGGTAAAAACTAATGCTCGCTCTGAGCGTACAAGGTAACGTCAAAATTGCCTCATTTTCTTCCCACTTAGTTGAAAATTCTAGCTTTATTCCTCCTGACGCGTTACGGCAGTGTACGATTTGACAGGTTTAAGATTGGTTCACCGGTAGACGGAATCGCTTGTCGTCGTAGGGGGTCATACTTTGTGTCACATATTATGAACAATATCCTTATTACGAGATGAAATGGCTCGGGTGCTGTTATGGACACTGAAGTGGAGTGTGCGTCAGGAATCAGCATCACTCCACTCCGAGTCATTAAGATGCATGAAAAAGCGGCATCCCAACGACGTCAGCTCCATTAAAGAGTGTCAGTACGGGACAGATGGTCCGAAATTTATCTCCCCCATCTCCATGTAAATTTTATTGCTTTGTGCCTTTGTCCATGCAAATGAAGCAGACGAGCCATTTTTATATTGCATCTACATATGTTTTTATGTTTCAGAATACCTCCATATCCTTGCTTTTAACACCAGTATGACTTTCTCTTTTATTTCCTGCCGTTAAACGTGACGCTGATGGCTTGAGCTCAGTCCGTCTCTAGTGTATTCATATCCAAGAAGTTTGGCTGATATCAAAGACCCCCTGAAATAAAAATTAGAGATTTGCTAGTAAAAGTTGACAACATAATTTTTTAGCAGGAATGTACACACAGAATATACAGAGGTTTATATACTAAGTAACACTTTATTTAAAGATATATATATATATATATATATATATATATATATATATATATATATATATATATATATTAGGGCTGTCAAATGATTAATCGCATCCAAAATAAAAGTTTGTGTTAACATAATATATGGGTGCACTGTGTATAATTATTTTGTATATGTATATATATATATATATAAACACACACACACACATGTATATATTTAAGAAATATTTTCATGTATATGCTGTATATAGATAGAATTATATATAATTTACATCATAGAAATATACATATTTTATATATAAATAATATTTTTTTCTTAAATATACATGCATGTGTGTGTATTTTTATATATATACAAAATAATTATACACAGTCCACCCACATATATTATGTAAACACAAACTTTTATTTTGGATGCGATTAATCACGATTAATCGTTTGACAGCCCTAATATATATATTAGGGCTGTCAAACGATTAATTGTGATTAATCGCATCCAAAATAAAAGTTTGTGTTTACATAATATATGTGGGTATATTATGGTTATAAAATACAAATTATTTTATAAAATAAAGGCTGCTCTCTGGCTTTTAAACAGTCGTAGTGTGTTGTTCCATAGACTTCCATTTTAAATGCATTCAAGTAAATGTGTTTTTGTTCATTTTTACAATCTAAGAGTCAAAATATTGTCTTTGGTAATTGACTTATTTAATTCCCATTTCTGCAGTTCCTCCTGTGTTTGTGGTGCGACCCAGGAATCAAGTAGCCGGGATGGGCCGCACCGTGACCTTTCAGTGCGAAGCCACAGGAAGTCCTCAACCTGCTATATTTTGGCAGAAAGAAGGCAGTCAGGTGAGTTTATCTGTGTATGTTTGTTCGTTCGCTTGTGATAAAGAGATGCATTTCCTTAGCACACTTTTACAGTAACATATAAAATGCATGGCACCCTTCCCCGTTAAAGTCAGTCAGATTTATGAGGCTGCTAGATTTATAAGGCCATCTGCACATTTACACAAATCTAATGGGCTCTGTAACACTCCACACCTCTAACACACACCTCGACTCATCATGGCTTGATCAGTTTCAGTCATCACACACTCAGGAAGTCAGGCACACTGTGTAAACGTGCAAATCCTGACTGTTTATTTTCCACATACTGAATATTCTTGGAGAAATTAGAACTAATTCTGTTATCAGATTCTACTTTGTTCATACATTTGTTCTTCCTTTCCCCTTCTCCAGAACCTCCTGTTCTCCTCTCAACCTCCTCCTCCGTCCAGTCGTTTCTCTGTCTCTCAGACGGGCGATCTGACCATCACGGCGGTGGAGCGTTCGGACGGAGGCTACTACAGCTGTCAGGCTCTGAACATCGCCGGCAGTGTGATCACCAAAGCCCTGCTGGAGGTTACAGACGGTAAACAAAAAAAGATAGATTTCATTCGTTTTGCTCCTTAGTTTTGGGAAAGTTACTCCCAAAAAGTTTTATTTTATTTTATTTTGTTAGGTTTTTGCTATGTTTTAGCTTACCTCCAGGGCATCCAAGATGTAGATGTCTTTGTTTCCGCAGTAGTTTTAATTTTGATATTTTTAGGTCAAACCGTTCTTGTCTGTCAGTCATATAATGGAGGTCTATGGTCACCACCTCAAAGAGCATGCAGAGAGAAGTCCAAATTAAACATGATTTAATGACTCGTAAATGTAAGTACACATTGATGGCCTAAGACACGAAACAAGCGGTTTGTGTGAGAAAACGAACAGTATTTATATAGTTTTTACATCTTGTAAGCACAGCATGTCCAAGTGATGTGAGGGTGCGGGCGCTTTATGGCTAAAAATACTTTTCATTTTCTCACACAAACCGCTCGTTTCATATCTTCGGCCATCAATGTGTACTTACATTTACGAGTCATTAAATCATGTTTAATCTGGACTTCTCTGTGCATGCTCTTTGAGGTGGTGACCATAGACCTCCATTATATGACTGACAGACACGAACGGTTTGACCTAAAAATTTCAAAATTGAAAATACTGCGGAAACAAAGACACCTACATCCTGGATGCACTTGGGATAAGCTACAACATATCAAAAATTAATTTCAAAGTGAACTATCCCTTTAACAGATTGATTATTTCAGCACAATCCAGTTTAAGAGGCGTTTTATTTGCCAGGAACTTTTTCTTTTCGTAACTAATTTGTCTCATATTGTGTTTTTTAAAATTGTAATATTGTAACATTCTTTTTTGTAAATATAATACATGATATGTGTGATAAAGCAAATTCAGTAATGCCTCTGAAAGAATCACTGACCAAAATATTCATGTTCGTTCATGTTCATGAATCTTTTTGACCGACTCATTAAAAAAAGATCCATATATAAAATGACCCATAGCAGATTTATACAGGTGGAGCTGGGGAAGGAGGAGGGTTTCTGAGGGTTCTGGCGCTATCCAAGGGGGTAATCCATCAGCCAGAAGATGAAGCCTCGCGGGAGCCGCGAGCTGTTAGCATCCCATTGACTCCCATTCATTTTGGCGTCACTTTGACAGCGAATAACTTTACATCTGAGGCATCCAAAGACTTAATTTGTCCATTATTTATTTCTAAAGAAACACGACAATGTATAAAACACTCCATTACTTTGTATCTTACGTTACGGCCCCATGGAAGCCGTTTTTGTAAAAATAGGCTAAAGATAAAGCTAGTAATCGCACAATTGAGACATTACCGTAAAGACAGGAGGAGAAGCTCACAGGCAATATTTTACTGTCTATGAGGCAATCGGGGGGACATGAAGGCACAAAGTCAAGGTAGAAGCCCATAAATAGAGTCCATAAAAGCAACGGGACAAAATATTTCAACAACATTTTTGAGGAATTAGGTGATTCAGATTTGTCTTGCCACAGCTACTAGAAGATTCACAACTGTCAGACTGTCGTCACGCTCAGTTTGAGCCTGCGCAGTCGCTCAGACATCACACAGGAAGTGCAATAATCGGGATTCAGTCTTCTCCGTTGAAATCAATGGGGTCGCTGTGTCCATTTCTTTTACTGTCTATGGCGCTATCCAAATGTTGAGCAGGAAGCTCATTGGCTGCAAATGCGACAGGAACCAATCGGCTTGTGCCATGTTAAAGCTAAAAACGTAAATATCAGTTGTCTAAAGAGTTGAAAGAACGTGCTATTTAATTTAACTCATATAGGCATCGCAAATAACAGCATTTTGTAAGAAATGCGTTACCCCAACATTGATTACTTTATATCCTCAAATAGTCAACAAGACACTTCAGAATAGTTACAGTTCGGCAATTCCCTCTCATCCAATGTAATCTCCTGTGAGTGCCTGTCTATAAAGAAAACACCAAAGCAAGACAAAAAGAAGGAGAGTGAGATAAAGAAAGAATAATAACAGTTATTTTAGCACCAATCTGCTCTCTGGCCTCGCTCTCACCGCGTGCACGGATCGTAATTACAGGTCACCGCCATGATGATTCAGTAATTACAACAGCGTCGACGCGAGGACACAACCGTGCATGTGCGAGCGTGTCATCTGATACATAATTCATGTCTTTGATGGTCCTCACAAAAGTGTTGCACGGCTTGGAAAACGCGCTGCAGTGGCGTTTATGCAAATGGAAGCCGTGTAAATGGCGGTAATGCTTCTGGCATTGTCGTACACAATCATATGGACGTAAACATCCCAGCATTTATCAGGCGGCCTGGGTCCTCGGCGAGAGACGAGAGGACACGCGGGGGGCCGTTTTAATAGACGTGGTGTGTTTCTGTGTGTTTTAGTGTGGTGATGATGGCTGGTGTGTGTGAGGGAGATTTAGTGCTGTTGAAATGGTGCCGGTATTAATTGCTCGTCTCTAGTTTGGCTTCGTTCTGCTACTGCTGTTGACTGATTAGAAAATTGCTTCCAGTTGAGAAAATTGGATTCCACCTCTATTTCTCTCTCTCTCTAGTTCTTAAAACATGTACTCAGCTCGTTCCCTGCCAGACATTCCACACTCGCATGCTCTTTTTCCTTGGTTACATTTATTTTTATTTGCGTTCTTCATTCTCTGTACCTCTGACCGTACACGCACTCGCCTCTGTGGCTCTTATAAAATGTGAAAGGATGTATTTTGGATTTTGGTTTGGAGTGCAGTTGTGTTTCATTATAGTTATTATAATGATATTAGTAGGTCTGGGGCAGCTTTAAGACTCTGTCTTCAAATGAGACCGATTTGTCTGTCTCTCACTCTTTTTCTCGTTGTCTCGCCCTGTCTTTCTGTCTCTTGTCGTTTAGTTTAGTGCATTTTAGTGACATGATAGATCATTTACGTTTATATTGTCAAACCATTTGTAGCTCAGCTACATGCGTAAAAAATGTATTTAATTGGGCTGTCAAACGATTAATCGCGATTAATCGCATCCAAAATAAAAGTTTGTGTTTACATAATATATGTGGGTGCACTGTGTATATTTTGCATATACAAAGTACTGTATAATTACACACACATGCTTGTGTATATTTACGAAAAAATATTATTTATATATAAAATATTGATATTTATATATAATATAAATTATATACAAATCTATATACAGTATATAGATGAAAATATTTCTTAAATATACACAAGCATGTGTGTATTTATATATATAAAATAATTATACACAGTGCACCCACATATATTATGTAAACACAATTTTTTATTTTGGATGCGATTAATCGCGATTAATCGTTTGACAGCCCTAGTATTTAATAAAAAAAAATTAAACAAAGCAATTCAACATAAAATTATTGATTAGAAGAAAAAAAAACAATGTTCCGAATTTATGTCGAATATGAGGAATACTACAAAGCTGATTGTATTTTAATATTTTAATTTAGTAGACATTTTTATCTAAGGGACTTATAAATACAACAGAGCGATTAATCTTAAAGTGATTAATCTAAAAAAATCATTTTATTTCAGAAATAAAGCCAATGAAATGAAAAATATGGACGAGAAAAAAGAATGTTCATAATTGATTTATTTTATTTGAATATTATTTACATTTAA